GGTAATGAATAACTGATAATTTTAAATAAATAACTTAATTAATAATTTTTAAACCAATCTACTTGCAAAATAAGTGTATATCATACATAAAACTCTGATTTACACGATAGAAGTATTTGTTATCAATTTCTTCTTATGTTGATTCCACAAATAAATAATAACTGTTCTTGCTACGCTTAAAAGGCCAGAAAGTGGGACATTTATTTTACAGGAAGATAGCGTTATTGATCCCATCTTTCTTTCATCTGCTTTATCAATAAAGCTAATTTGATGAAATTTCCAATCTCTGGGTTCCACTATCAAAGCAATAATTAAATAATTTTAATAATTTCTCAATAAAATTAATATTTTATTAATCATTTTATATTCAAATTGTCTCATTTTGGTAATAAACTTTTTTCCTGATGATAAATTTTTATTTCACGTTTTTACATGTTCGCAATAATTCTTTTCTACAAATACTTTAAGAGTCTTTTTTTCAGTTTCTTTATTTGATGTTACTTTTCTTATATTCCATATCCTATTGTCAACACATGGAAATACTATTTATCTCTACTAAGTATTTATTTCTTTAACATTCCTCGTTACATATTCCATTTTATAATGTTATTGAATCTATTGAATTTATAATTACTCTAATTTTAATCCAAACATATATTTCATATTAATATTTTTATTGATATATTGCTAACAAACTATTAAAAGCTGTCTGTTTTTCTGTTTATTGTTTGAGCTATCATTTTTGCTCTGTTGTATCCCTTTCTAAAAAAGGCATGTTATTAATATTGTTGTCGCTTTTATGCGATGTTGATTAACTGTCTCGATTCGCGATTGATATGCGTTATATTCATAGCATAGAGCAGTTATTGAGAGGGTTAACAGTTTGACAGTTGTCAAAATAAAATTAAATAAAATTACAAATATTAAAAAGTTAAGTCACACACACGCACGCGCACACACACGCACACGCACACACACGCACACGCACACACACACACACACACACATTACATAAAATCGGATTATGGCTTATTGTGTTGTCTAGTTTTTTTTATAAAAGAAATTATGTAAATTGTTTTTTAAGATAGGCATGTAATTTATTTTTTCTTTTTTCTGTAACAGAAGTTCTGTTTGCATTCTTTATGCCACCATTTTACATGATTTCTTGATTTTATTTTAGGGTGCATTCAGGAAGACGCTATTAGCTGACAGCATCGTTCTCTGTTACTTACTGAAAGTTAAACAAAGACAGAACACGCTCAAACACTAAAAACGCGCTCCTCGGGAACCCTGTCTTATTTTATTTTAATATTATTATATTTCTTCTCTTCTCTATTTTTTCTTTTTTTTATTTTTATCTCGAACTTTATTTCCGTAATTAAGTAGCTATTTTAATAGCTTATATTCATAATGTTTACTATTTTCGAGTACCTCTCTTGTTCTACTATATTTGAATATTTTTAAGATTTAAACATTTCTTTGCTGTTTAATTACTTATATACAATATATGTATATATGAGTCTTATTAATGTTTATTTCAAATATTATTATTATAGAAATATAAAAAATACTCTGCAATCTAAAAAATACAAATGTAAATATTTCAAGATCAAGTAATTAAAATGCACAAACGTAGATATCTGAAATAATAAAAATAAATATCCAAAAATCTATTAGTTTATAAATATAAAAATAAAAATCACAATTCGAGAAATTTAAAAATAAAAATATTCAAAAATCTAAAAATCCAGAAAATAGTTTTTTATACTTAAAATTAGTTTTTTATACTTTTAACTTAGAAAAAGTATAAAAAAGTTTTTTGTCAAACTATTATTCAAAAGTTTAAATATTTAGGAATATGAAATCATTGACCAAAACTAGCAATTATCCATTTATTCAAAATCACAATGTTTCGATTATGTGATTGTGGTCCTTATCAAATGAAATAAAATTGAATTAAGATGACATTGTACTTATGTTACATTAAAAAAAGAGTCAAATAATTAAAGAAAAGAGACAAAGCCGACATCTCACACAAAAGCATCGTTAAGTTCAGAACTTGATCAATTTTATTTCACTTGATAAGAACCACATCCACATGGTCGAAACGTGATTTTGAATAAATAAATAATATTGCTAGTTTTGGTCAATGATTTCACATTCCTAATTTTACACTAGCGACTATATTTGAAAGGATTTATTACATCTTTAAATATTTATTTGAAAATTTAAATAAATCTAAAAACAATATATTAAAAATAAATAATTATAATTGAATAATTAAATTGTTCACACATTTAAAAACTATTAATAATTTTATTATAGATTTTTTAAAAAATGTGTAATAATGAAAATATTTATATAGATTAATCAAACGTTTTTTTATTTTATTATAATTATTATGCTTTATAAAATCGAAAGAAGAAAAGGTAAAGAGAAATAAGGATTGAAAATTTCAAATCAAGGATTATAACAATTCAAGAATTATAAAATTCTGTATTATTATAAGTAAAAAAGTACAAACATTTTTTTAAGATTTATTATTTAAAAGTTTTATTATTATTTGTGTGTGTGTGTTTAAAATAATTCAAAAATTAGTATACTAAAATTAAATCATTATATAATTAAATAATTAATTGTTTGCATTTAAAAGCTAATACTTTTGTTATAGATTTCTCTTAAAATAATAATATTCTTTAAATAATAATAACATAAATATGATATTTTAAATTGGCCAATAGAGCCCAAAGCGCAAAAATTAATATTTTTATCTTTTTTTATTTTTTTTATTAAATATTTTTTTAAATTATTTTTTATGGAATAATTTTATTAAATATTCTTTAAAATTATTTTTTATGCAATAATAACTAAAACTATTTATATATTTTAATCAAACATTTTTATATTTTGTTATAAATATTATACTTTATAAAATCAAAAGAAGAGAAAAAATATGAAAATTTCAATTCAAGGATTATAACAATTCAAAAATTATAAAATTCTAAACTGTATTATTGTAAGTAAAAAAGTGCAGTTTTTTTTAAGATTTGCTACTTAAAAGTTTTGTTATTATTTGTTTGAAATTTAAATAATTCTAAAAATATACTAAAAATAAATAATTATATAATTAAATATAATTAAATTGTTTATAATTCAAAAACAACTAGTAATTTTATTATAGATTTTTTGAAATAAAATTCTTTAAGAATATGTAATAATAACTAAAAAGATTTATATAGAATTGTTCAAATTAACACTTTTTTATTTTATTATAATTATTATAGTCTATAAAATCGACAAAAGAAAAAAATAAGGATCGAAAATTTTATTTCAAAAATTATAATTCAAAAATTATAAAATTCTAAACTGTATTATTGTAAGTAAAAAAGTGCAGTTTTTTTTAAGATTTGCTACTTAAAAGTTTTGTTATTATTTGTTTGAAATTTAAATAATTCTAAAAATATACTAAAAATAAATAATTATATAATTAAATAATTAATTGTCCACATTCAAAAATTAATAATTTTATTATAGATTTCTTAAAATTAAATTCTTTAAGATATGTAATAATAACTAAAAAGATTTATATAAATTTAAGCAAACACTTTTTTATTTTATTATAATTATTACTTATAAAATACTTTATAAAATAAAAAAATAAGTTTTGAAAATTTCAATTCAAAATTATAATTTAAGAATGATAAAATTCTAAATTATTATTGTAAATAATTATATATATATATTTTTTTTAAATCTACATATTAATATATTATAAAAAATTCTTTATTTTGAATACTTAAGAAATAAAGCGTAGATTTCTACTCTTGATGAAGGAATGGAGTGTATATCGTTAGAGGAAAAAATATAGCGGCGAAGTATTGGAATACCATAAATATCTATCGTAATTTAGAAGTTTAGAATGAAGTTTAGAATAGAAAAAATACTCTGCAGTTTAAAGAACAAAAATGTGTTTCAAGATTAAATAATTAAAATACAAACGTCTATCTCGTATCTAAAAATCAAATCTACCTATCTAAAAATAAATATCAAAAAATCTATTCATTTATAAAAATCGCAACTTGAGAAATTTGAAAATAAAAATATTTAAAAATATAAAAATCCAGAACGTTAAAAGTATAAAACTACTAAAAATTTTTTTAAAGCTATTACTTGAAAATTTTGATACTTGTTTAAATTTAAATAATTCTGAAAACATATTAAATATAAATAATTATATAATTAAATAAAATATTCACACGTTCACAAAACTAATATAATTTTACTATAGATTTCTTAAAATAAAATTCTTTAAATATATATGTAACTAAATAAGTACTAATAACTAAAAAGATTTATATATAAATTAAGCAAACACTTTTATTTTAATTATTATACTTTAGAAAATCGAAAGAAAAAAAATAAAAGAAATAAGGATCGAAAATTTCAATTAAAGATAATAATTTAAGAATTATAAAATTTTAAACTGAAGAAAACTAGAAATTTGAAAATTTAAATAATTCTAAAAACAATATATTAAAAATAAATAATTATATAATTAAATATAATTAAATTGTTTATAATTCAAAAACAACTAGTAATTTTATTATAGATTTTTTGAAATAAAATTCTTTAAGAATATGTAATAATAACTAAAAAGATTTATATAGAATTGTTCAAATTAACACTTTTTTATTTTATTATAATTATTATAGTCTATAAAATCGACAAAAGAAAAAAATAAGGATCGAAAATTTTATTTCAAAAATTATAATTCAAAAATTATAAAATTCTAAACTATTATTGTAAGTAAATATATATATATATTTTTTTTAAACTTACATATTAAAATATAATTTTCACATATTTTTAAATACTTAAGAAATAAAGCGTAGGATTTCTATTTGTGATAAAGGAATGGAGTGTATTTCGTTAGAGGAAAAATCTAGTGGCTCGGAATATCATAAATATCAGACGGTTGCTCCAGAGGTCTGAAGCAAGTGGCAAGTGCCAGTTGCTCCGCGGCACTCGTTACGGTTGGTCACTCAGAACGCTTGGTTGCTGTCTCTTAAAAGGATCCTTCTTTCGGCCGTCTCTAACCTTTTGGTCAGTCGGCGATTATCCGGAGAACTCGCGTGGAAGATTATTAATTGGAATTAATTGGACTTAACTGAGTGAAGTTGCAGTGTATGCACGTCGAATATAGAAGCATATATATATATATATATATATATATATATATATATATATACACATATATATAAACAGGGAACGTGCTGTATGTTAAGAACGCAGGAATGTAGCGACTGTAGCGAGTGAATAGTGTCGTGTATGGGCGTGTTTTTCAGACAAGTACCTTTGATCTTCGATTGTTCTCTCTAAAAACATATTGAAAAGATTCCGGGGAACATGACGTTACCGACGATACGCGTTGCTATATTCATCTTGTTGCTCGTCGTTGATCTTTATCATGCAACTAACACCGTGACATCAGCTAAGGTATTTAAAATTTTGTTTATTTATAAGTTGATTCGATTGTCTTTTAATATCTTATTGTATGTGAAACATATAAGATTTTTATATTTCTTTTATACATATATGTAAGAGGTATTGTAAACTTTTTGTAATAATAACAAATCCAGTTTACAGTTGATTACATTTAATATTAAACATGCATTTTATAGGTTGGCTATTAGATCGACATACATTTGAATATTGCATCTATAATGTTGTTTAATATTTCGAATTATTACTCTTTCTCTATTCTTCTTTCGATTTTATAAAGTGTAGTAATTATAATAAAATAAAAAAACTGTGTTAATTTGAACGATTCTATATAAATCTTTTTAGTTATTATTATATATTCTTAAGGAATTTTATTTTCAAAATATCTATAATAAAATTACTAGTTTTTGAATTGTGAACTAATTATATTTAATTATATAATTATTTATTTTTAACATACTGTTTTTAAAATTATTTAAATTTTCAAACAAAACACTAATTTTTTCAGTTTAGAATTTTATAATTCTTAAATTGTTATAATCTGTACTGGAAATTTTCGATCTTTATTTCTCTTTTACTTTTCTTCTTTCGATTTTATAAAGTATAATAATTAAAATAAAAGTATTTGATTAATCTATATATAAATCTTTTTAGTTATTACTACTTATTTAGTTACATACATTTAAAGAATTTTATTTTAAGAAATGTATAGAAAAATTATTAGTTTTTAAATGTGAATATTTGAATTATTTAATTATATAATTATTTATATTTACTATAATATTTTCAGAATTATTTAAATTTAAACAAATATCAAAATTTTCAAGTAATAGCTTTAAAAACTTTAGTAGTTTTATACTTTTAACGTTCTGGATTTTTATATTTTTATTTTCAAATTTCTCAAGTTGTGGTTTTTATATTCATAAATGAATAGATTTTCGGATATTTATTTTTAGATACAAGATAGACGTTTGTATTTCAATTATTTAATATTGAAACACTTACATTTTTGTTCTTTAAATTGTAGAGTATTTTTTTATATTTAAACTTCAAAATCACAAGAGATATTTTTAATTAGTTAATTAATTAGTTAATTAATATATATCCTTGTATTTCCAATAAAAATATTGTTGATAAAATAACTGAGAAAATATTTATATCTTTATAACAATATACTAATATTTTGAGTTGTAAAATTATATAAATTCATTTAAATCAATAAATATTGATACATAACGTATTGATATGTTTCTCAAGTTATCAGAAAAATAATTGCAATAAGACTTTGTATTAAAAAACCGTCAAAAGAGAAAAATGATCAAAAAATATTTATTTAAATTCGAATATTTATTTTAATTTACAAAGCCAATGAAACAAGTTTTTTAGGCTTAGCAGCTATTTTTAAATTGTGGAAGCATTTCAAGGAAGGAATTATGTAGATAAATGACAACTCGGGAAAAGAATGCTTAAGCATATCAGTCAATAACGCGTACAACATAAAAGCAGAGAAATATATTTGAAAGAGAAGATAGGTGGCCATCTTTCCAGGAATTAGCTCATAATCTCGATGTTTCTTTGTCTGATGAGAAACGTTACTTTCAGCCGACATTGTATATGTAGCACTTAACTGACACTTAAAAGACTATTGATAACACAACAAATATATGAGACACACACTGTGTTACAAAGTTATAATAGTATTGGAAAAATGTAACAATGATTCAAATTTTTATCATATCTGACTGAATTGATACTGAATAGTGATATTTTTGATAATTGATATATCTTTGCAACAGCCCTCAAATATGTAAAATTTTTAGAATTATAAAATAAAAATGTAACTATACAGAGCATAAAAAAGTTTTTAAGTTATTTTTTTTGTTAAGATTGATAAAAATACAATATCTATAATAAAATATATATCTATAATAAAATATATATATATATATATATATATATATATACCTATGTAAAATAATGAATATTATTTAATTTAAACACTAAAAAATTTATAAAAAACGAAAAAGTATGTTTTTAACATTAAAAAAACGACCAATAATAAATTATTTATTAAATTAAATATCTCATTACGTTTCGACCTCTGGTTTAGGTCTTTTTCAAATGAAAATTCTCTTTAAGATGACATTATAGATAAAGAAGTAACACCCTTATAACATATCAAACAATATATAAAAAAGAAACCTTGTGTCTTAAAAGACGTCTCGTCAGTAACAATGCGTGTTCGACTGATACAACAAAATTTTAACTATTTGAATAGTTTAAATTAACAAAATTTATCTATAATTTCATCTTAAAGAGAATTTTCATTTGAAAAAGACCTAAACTAGAGGTCGAAACGTAATAAGATATTTAATTTAATAAAGAATTTATTGCCCAGTATTGGTCGTTTTTTATGTTAAATACATTACTTTTTCGTTTTTTATTTCTTACTGGCGAATTGATTACACACACACTTAATCAACTAATTGTAAGACATACATCCAATCAAAAAATTTATACTATATAAAAAATATATAGGCATTAATAAATATTATTGAGATAACATTTTATTACCGATATGCATGTAACATTAATTACATGATATGCAAGCAAATTATTGTAAATAATTGTATTGTAATTAAATATATATAATTCACAAAATAATAATTTTTTTCTATAACTTTTAATTGAATATTTGAAACATAAAATTTAAAACATAAATATAATATAACTTAAATAAATATTCAAAATTAATATACTATATGATAAAAGAATAAAAAGATAATATATTATAAAATATATATATTAATACACACATAAACCAAAAAACTTTAAAAAATAAAACTGTAATTATTCTGAAACTTACTTTTGATTGACACGATAACTTTGGTGTTGGCGAAATAAAAAGAAAAAACTTAGGATTTAGTTAGATAATTTGCTTTAAATGATAATAATTATCATACGTATTCATTATATAATTAAAATAAATATATAATTAAAATTATTATATTAATTTTTGTATTTTTAGAATATGTAAAAGTTGATGAATTAAATAAAAATATGTTTATGATTTCGAATATAATTACACTGGTTATATATATTTGCATTGCACAAATATAGAAATTACTTACAAAAAATATTTTTTCTAATATACAGTGTTTCAGGAGGAGTAGTCAGCATTTTATATGATTGTACGTATCATTTTAAGCAAAAAAAGTTTATATAAACATGAGTCTTATTCTGAACAGTTATTATTACATATTCAATCTTAAAAATCAATAATTTTGTAGAATTAATTAATTTAATAGAATTAATTTAGTAGACCCAAATGCTATAAAATAATTACATTACATTTTCGTCATTTTCTGTTACCACGCCACAGTTACAAATGTAAACATTAGGTCATTTTTGATAAGTCATGTGTTAATTTAAAACTTTGGATTTCTGGTGTAATTGAAATGCCTTATTTATTCATGCCAAAATTATTATCAATTAATGCGAATTATTATTTATTAATTATTATTAATTATTTAAATTTATTGTAAGCTTAAAATTTAATGTAATTGTTTAATAGAATTTGGTTGTATTTTATTAACAAGTTAATAAATAACATATTTGTCCTTAAAACTGAACACACTGTATCTTTATAACCGTCCAGAATAAGGCACATATATAAATATATAAACTTTTTTGCCCAAAATGATGTACAATTATGTTCTAGAATGCTGACTATTCCTCTGGAAATATTCTGTATATCCCTTTTCTTTTATTATCTTAAAATCGAATTTTTTGTAGTCCTTGATATTTCAGAAAGGCTAACATCAGTTTTGTCAATATTTTGATACTTGATCTTTTGATTGCGATTAGTTTGAATAAAATTGATAAACTTAGTCCTGAGATTTCATATAAAGCGCCAAAAATATTAAAATATTTAATTATTACGGTCGAACGAGAGAGGAATCGTTGCTTAAATTTTCTTGATCTATCTATTATAGTTTTAAATAATACTATTTACATAGACTAGTATCAAAAAAAGACTTTTTCTGGCAGGGTGTTGTCATATTTTTCCAATCATCCCCTTTACCACAAAATTGCAATAATTTATAATTTAACAGATAGGTGTTTATTATTATCATCACATCCACAATTTTATAATAAAAATATTATATTAGTGGTTAGGATACTTTTGAGCAATGGTTATCCTCTCGACTTAGTTTTCAATAAAATTAATTACCGTATCAAACATCTTGTTTCCAATGGTATTATTTTAAACAGACACATCAATAACGATAATAATAGTATTAAGATTGAGTTAGCAGAAGAAGAAAAAACAATAAAATTTGTAGTTATTCCGTATATTAACCGAATTTCAGATATGGTTGTCTCTTCGATTAAAAAGTCGAATAATGTTAATATTGGTTATAGGTGTTTGAATAAACTCAACAATATTAGAAAAACTCATAAAGACCAAAATGTGCATTCACAGAATTCTAGCGTTGTTTATAAGATCAATTGTAATGATTGTGATGCATCTCATACGTGGGTCAGACGAAGAGACAATTAAAAACTAGAATAAAAGAATACAAAAATAATATCAAAGGAAACATTAATAGCTTCTTGGTAATATCAGAACACATTAACAAAGAAAAACACGATTTTAAATGGGATAATGTCAAAATTTTAGATCATGAAATTAATTATTATAAGAGGATTATTTCTGAAACGTTACACATAAAAGAACAGAAAAACGGAATAAATTTAAATAAAGACACTGAGTTGTTATGTGATTCGTATTTTGATATACTTGAGAAGTTAACAGACATAGATAAAAAACAAACAACACATGTATAAGTTACAATAATATAGATATAACGTGCTCTCATCACAATATATAAAGGGACAATGACACTATTTTATCATAATTGTGTTGAGAACAAAAAGGAAAATTCAAATGGCAGTGGGAGACATCCTTATTCACATAAGTAAGCTGATTA